GCGTCACTGAATGCTAACCAGGTTATTATCTGATATTTCTAAAATCTGTTAAAAATGTAATAGGACATGTGCTACATGTAAAAATGGCGATTCTTGTAGTACTTGTCCTTCTGGTTTTTTGATAAATTATGAGAATAAATTATGCGATTAATTATGTAATCCTAAATGCAAAACTTGTTTATTTTCAAAATCTAATTGTCTTACTTGCAATGACCCTTATTATTTATAAATTAACCATACTTGCGCTGATTCATGTTTGCCGAATCAATATCCGGATAATACGAAAATATGCTAACCGTGTAATGTATCATGTTTATCATGTGTTAATGGAACTTCATGTTCTACATGTACTGATGGTATGTATTTAGATTCTGTTACTAAATATTGCAAGCCGTGCACTACTGTTAATTGCAAAACTTGCGATAATCTTTCTAAATAATGTACAGAATGTAATTTATTTTATTATATCACTTAAAACAATTAATGCGTTAGAAATTGTTAATTTGATTAACATAATACATATGGAGATGCTTAAAGGAAATGTTAACTATGTAATGCGACTTGTTTTACTTGTTAAAATGCATTTTCGTGTACTAATTGCAATTTTGGTTATTATATTAACACAAGGAGTGGTTTATGTGAAAAATGTAATGATAATTGTAGAACATGTGAAAGCGGAATAATTGACAATTAATGCGCTTCTTGTAATAATCCTATGGTTCTTTTAAGAAATAAGAAATGTGTAGATATCGATGTTGATGTAGATGCCAATGACAACGCCAATGCCAATTAATGTAATAGTAAATAATATCTGGATGTAAATCGAATTTGCTAATAGTGCGATCCTTCTTGTAACTCTTGTTCTAATTCCGATACATGTAATTCTTGTGTTGAAGGCAGATATTTGGAAACCGGTACTTTGAAGTGTAAATTATGCGACTTAAATTGTAAGGTATGTATAGAAAAGAACAAATGCTTATCTTGTGCACAGGGATTTTATTTATAAAATGGCCTCTGTATTAAAGAAGTTATTTGCTCTGGGAATACTTATTTTGAACAAAATGAGTGTAAAACAGAATGTTCTTAAAAAAAATTTAAAAATTCGATGAATAATAGATGTGATCCTTGTCATATTACTTGCAAAAAATGTAAAGAAGCAAATAAATGTTTAGAATGTGAATATGGACTTATTTTGAATGATGATGGTAAATGTATGTAATATGAATAAGAAACACATACTACTAGTAAGTTGATATTTAAAATATATCTTGTGATAACTATATATACATTCATATCATGTATAATTTGTCATTTTTTAGATAATAGGTCGAAAAATTTAGGAGAAACAGAATGTGATTCGAAAGTAGCAAAAACTTTAACAAAAAACGTAGAAAATCAGGTTGTGGTAGAAGATATAATTAGTAATAAAAATAAAAAGTAAAGCTAGAATCAAGAAATTCAAAAAACTAATTAAATAAATTAAAAAAATGTAGCCGTAAACTCAAAAGAGAACAATAATAAAATTGATATAAATTCAAGAAAAAAAAGTAATTTTACTAATTTAACTTAAGTTAGTCCTATTAGTCCTGAAATTGATATGACTGGATTTGAAAATAATAACAAAATATAAACTAAATAAAAAATTACAAATGATCAAAACGGTTTAACTGCTATTAATGTTAATAATCCTAATAACTAAAGAAATAGTATAAATACAATTAACTAAATTAATATAAATTCTGATTATTATAATTATGACTAGAAAATATATTTTACACTTATTGCAAATGAATATTTGGAAATGTATATGTTATAAGGCAATTCGCCAAACTCTTTACTTAGGGCTATATTAATGTATTTTAAATAATGTTTAATGATGCTAATTTGTTTTTATTAATTTATGTTTGGATATTTTATAATGGGTATTCTAATTTTTATGTGTGTATTAATTAAAGGAATTGTGAAAAAAATAATTGAAAAATTAAATTTTTTAAGCTGTTGTAGATATATAGTTCCTATATTGTTTTTTATAGTCATTTTTATAATATTCTTTGTTACATTTATTTTTTAAAAATGCAGTATAATTAATAATAAAATAGATTATAAATGGTCTATTTGTTATTTATCAGTTTTTATAATAGATTTTATTTTAATTTAAAATATAGTTTCATTTTTGAAATATTATTCGAGTATAAGAAAAATAAAAGGATTTAATGATAAATTATAAAAGATCTTAAATTATACTTTTGTTTAATAAAATATCATAAATATAATAAAAATAAACAAAAAGAATTGATAATTTTTGAAAATTAAATTATGTTATTATATATTAATATTTGATTTTATTTATATTTAAAATTTATTTATTAAAAATAAAAATAAATATATAAAAAAATAAATAAAATATTTTAAAAAAAATTATTATAAATATTATTTAATTTTTATATATATTAATATTAATATTAATATAAATATTATTATTATTATTATTATTATTATTATTATTATTATATTATCTTTAATATTATTATATATAATTTTTTATTATATATTATTATTATTATTATGAGGATATTTTAGATTGTTGGAGAGAAGTTTAAAATCGGTTCCAGTCTTAGATTTACAAATATAGTTTCTATATTTGTATAGTCCAATGATCAATTTGTTTGTTGTGTTTGGAATCATTTATTTTTTTTTCTATGTGACGGTTTTAATAAAAAAAAATATAGAGATTTTCTTGTTATAGGTTATCTTAATAAATTTTATTTGCTGTCTTTTTATTTAAAATTAGTTTTTCTTTTTTTTAATGTTGAATTAATATGAATTTTTGTAATTATTGTTTTATAATCATTACTTCCGATCTGTTAAATTACTTTTGAAGAATATAAAAGATTTTAGTTAGTGATTACGATTTCAATTGTATTGTTTAAATCAGTTAGTTAAATATTTAGAATCTGTAGATTATATTTTTGTAGGAAAGAATTAAGTTTTTTACTAATTTGTTTTTGTTTTTTATTAAATTCGTCAGCAATAATAAATTAAGGGTTATTATATCTAGAAAGTTATTAATCTATTTCTTAAAATTATGTTTTTAATAAGGGGAAATCATTTTGGTTAGGGATATATATTCCAATAATTAGAATTTTGGAATTGTTATTTATATGGATTATGACTATTTTGAATTCTGGGGTACTATTTATGAATTAAGATAGATACTTCTCCTCCTGTTTAATCCTCCTAACGATTATAGTAAAGGAGATATAAGGGTTAGTATTAATAATTTCTTGAGGTTTTCCCAAGTTTCGCAAATTATTAAGACTTAAGCATTGTTTTATTAAGCCATATTTATAAGTAATTCTTATTTATTTGTTATTGAACGTAAGTTTATGCTAATGATTATGATATTATTGAATGTGTGTGTTATCTGTCTTTCTTTATATGTATATTAATTATATATTATATAAGTTTTTTAAAAAAGGTTATTTTGGAGGAATGTTTATTTTTTTTTAATCATCCAAAGAATACTCATTATTATTATGGTTTAAATTCTGGGTAGGAATGTTAGGTTTGAAATCTTTCGTTATTCATGGAATCCTATTTTTAGATTTTATTTCTTACTGTATTAGTCTGTCTTAAAGCATTTATAGTCCCTTTTACGTTCTGATTTCTTTTCTTATCTCTAAATTTTTAACTTTTTTGGTTAATTAAACAGTTTCTATCCTAATTCTTATTTGTTCTAATGAAGTCTGTAATTTGTTTTTAGTCTTGCTATAAATGTTAGTCTTATTAAGAATTTTTATTGTATTTTCCTTAATTATGATTTTTTTTAAAAGGGAAGAGTTACAATCCTTTCTAGATTTATTAGATTTTGAGTTAGATTTTTCTAAATTCTTTAAACCTACTAGGATGAACAAATTCTTGCTTTGGATTCCAAAAAATTAGGTATTGTTTATTAATTAATTAGATTAGTAGAAGTCTTGTAATCTGTATTTTTTGTTAACTATTATTATTTGGATTTTTTTTATATGTTTAGTATTAAATTATGGTCCTCTTATAAGGCTGTATGCGAAAGCAATGGATCTATTTTAAGAGTCTGAAGTTTTTTAATAAGAAATAAAAACAAAGTAAATCTTTTTTAGACATATAAGATTTTACCTAAATAAAAAATTTAATTAAAATAATAAGGTAGAGTAAGATATATAAAAGCTTAAAAATAAATAAGCTCATAAGATTTTAGAGCTAAAAGTACACAAGATCAAATAGTACTTATTTGTAATTAATTAGAAATTCTAATAATGATGGAATAAGAAAATAATAATAATAATAATAATATATAAAAATAATAATAAAAATAATAATAATCATGGATTAATTTATTGAAGAACTTAACATAATTAATATTGTATTGAAAATTTACAGTCTTCTGGAAACAATGCAAAGCCTTAATCCAATATAAAAAAATGAAAAACAATAGCTATTGGTCTCTATATAAAATAAAGATTAAATTCTCACAGGAAAAGAACTTAATTAATTTCTATTTTGTAATTATTTTAACCACTTCCAAGGAGACTATACCTGCTAATGGTAACTTCTTTAATTCAAAAACTGGAAATTTCAAAATCTTCCTAAAATCAGCACCAATAAAGCCTTATCAGTTTATCTACTTTTCGAGTTTATCCTTACCTAACTTAAAAATATTAATTAAGAATAAAAAAGAATATAACTCTTAAAATAACTTCTTAAAAATATAATTGATTCCATCAAATTTACCGATCATCTAACAGGAAGATTAATATGCTTACTAAAAGATCCCTCAAAACCTAAAAAATAGATAATATAAGACCTATAATTGTGTTTTCACCCTTAAGAAAATTTATCGAATTATAATAAATCATGGGAAAATTACAAGACTATGTAAAATACAAAATAGGGAAATTTCAAGTAGGCTTCGTCAATAAATTGGGAACAGAAATAAACTTACATAAAATTGGAGAATAATGGAGAAATATAAAGGATTATAGAAATTCTGAATTTTATTTATACACTTTAAGAGTGCCTTTGATCGTGTTCCTCATTCAGCACTTTTAAGTATAATTCAAGATATCTAAATTCTTAAGAATTCTAACTTCTAGAATTCCTCCTTCGTAACTCCTACTTACAAATTGGAAAAAAAAAAAATTCGAATAAATACTGGTGTACCGCAAGGTTCTCTCTTAAGTCCATTCTTATTCAACATCTTTATAAATACCTTCTTCTTATAATTGCATAATCTCTAAATTCCATTAGAATAATTACTTTTCTATGCTGATGACTTAGCTCTAATTTTCACTAATTTTTGCTAATTTAAACAAACAATATTATGCATCAATTCTTGGGCATCTAAATTCTCTATGATCATTAACTAAAATAAATCAGGAATATTATTTAGACATAAAAAATCCAGAAATAAGTTCACGAATTTCTACACGGATTCCCAATCGTAGAGTAATACAAATACCTCAGAATAATAGTGGATAATAACTTCTCTTTAAAAATATAATTTTAAGAAATAAAAAACTAACTTAACTACACTATATTCAAATTACAAATTAAACCAACTCCAAAGAGACAGTATAGAATTTAGAGATAAACTTTTTTTATGGGAATTACTCGTTTACTCTCATATTTCTTATAGTGCAATTCTTCTCAAATATACAAAAAAGAAATACTAAACTTAGTGGCAATAACTCATTACACAATCTCTAAAAAAAACACTAAATATCAATAATATTAGTAATTTTTTATAATGAAAATGAAAACAAATAATTGCGCTAACTTGTAAAATTTTTAAATTAATATAAAGTAAATAAAAATTAAATAATTTCTTGAATATTTTTTTATTTATTAAATATTAAATAAATAAAATAAAATAATATCATATAAGAAAACTGTATATTTATTAATAAATAGATTTAATATAATAATTATAATAAAATGGATTCTGTATTTAAAGTAAATATGAATTGTTAAAGTTTCAAAATTATTAAAATTATAATTTTTTTTAATAAAAAAATAGGAATTATATAGAAATTGTAACATTTTTAAATGAAAACAAAGAATAATATTGTTTACCATTGAAAAAAAAATTAAGTTTTTATATAAATATTTAATAGTATTTTTGAAATATTTTTTAATTTATTAATTTTTTGCATTAACACTTAAATTGTTAATTTTTATACTATAAAATTAAAAGGTAGTTAGTTTTATTAAAAATAAATTTTAATAAAATAAATATATTACAAAAAAAAATGGTGAAGGTGATATGTTTTTTGCAAAAACATTAATAATTAAGTCGGATGAGAAAAAACATTAATAATTAAGTCGGATGAGAATAAGAAATTATTAATTAAAATAAAATAAAAATACATTTTTATGAGACAGTCAAATTTTAATTTGTAATAAAATGTGTAGGATTATTAAAAAAAAAGCATAATAAATTTAAAAAATAGTTTATGGAAAAGATATCCTCTTTCACTTCTATAAATAATCTTAAAATTTAAAAGTGATATAATTTAAGATGATTCACCATATTTAAAAAGTATTTCTATAATAAAAATTTATTAATAATATGAATTCATAATAATTTTGTAATCATAAAACAAGAAAGTTTTTTTAAATTAATGTGATAATTCTATTTATTTAAGTTTTATTAATAAATAATATTTATATTTTTTATATTAGATTACGAAGTTAGTAATTAATTTGATTTATAGTTTTTTAATTTTATTAAAGTGGATAATTAATTACTGTGAAAAATAAAATTACTTAAAAATTTAATAAACTGATTTAATTAATAATATTTATATTGTTTCTTTGATACTTTAATTAAAATAAGAAGTAATTAATCACTTTTTTTCAGAAACAATAAATTTGTCTTAAAATAAATATGTTTTAAATTTCTTGGAATTGTGTTTTTATAAAATAAAAAGTACAGAAGAAATAAAATAAATGCTATTAATAAGCAATATCTATAAATTATATTCAAATAATTTTTATAATTAA